TTGCTATCCAAGAAATATTACACTGCTTCTGCTTCTATTTCTTGTAGATCTGAACTTGCATGATTGCCCTTACTATTTTCGGTCAATGTTTGGCTTGCCTTCATTAGGGGCCTTAAAACTATACATAATTTGCTTGTTTATAACGTTCAGATAAACGCTTGTTCTTTTCAATGAAGATGAAAATATTAAATAAATTGTTGTTTGAATGTGAATTTACTTTTTATCATCTTTATTGCATTATACCTTTTCTCGTCTCTTTTCTTCTGAAAATAAATTTGACTTAATTTTTGGAATACATTCATGATATTCAGCACTTTTCGCATTCTGATAAATAGATTTAGTACTTAAGTACTTTCTGTATCATTTACTTCATATGACATGAAATAAAACAACAAGAAATATGATAACTTGACTACTTCTCAGGCTTCTCTAAACTTGTTATCTTGGAAGTTATTAGAGCTAAATGGAATGGGAGTAACATTGCCTTGGGCCTTGATCTTCGAGCAATCACGCAGTATTTTTTTATTCTTCCTCGACTAATTTTTTGTGTCCAAAATTTTTTGGTAATTTTGAGTCATGTTTTCCATTCTTTAATGTCATTTACTCTCTTATTATTGCAAGCATTTTTTTGGGCATCACCAAGCATTTTTACTTGCTGCTCTCATTATAACTTTCCCCCCACTGCTCTCTCATTATAACTTTCCCCAACTCTCTTGTAATTATTATTTTTTATCAATGAATGGCTTTGGCCTAAATTCCCCCCAAAAAACATAATTTTAATTTTCACCAATCCAGATCTACTAGACTATAATACCTCTGACTAGTTAAAAGAAATTATAATACTCAAGCCTACTTTCCAAAAAAAACAACTTATTAAACAGCTCTGCAGCCAGCTCTTAGATTTCGTTTGGGATGACTTTTTTACCGCTTCTTAAAACAGTTTTTTAATAAAAAATTTTAATTTATGTACTAAAAAGTTATTTTAAGAAGCAGTGAGAAAGAAATCCTAAACAAAGTCTTAAGCTCTTACGAAACCCTGCAACCTTCCTATCTTCCCCAAATTCTTTGGGCAGTCAAGTCATAAAAAGTAATCTGATTCCACGTCCTACCTTAAGCCTGAGTTGCACAAAACCAGACTATATAATGGTTATAATCTTATTCATTATTGTTTAAAAGAAATTATAATACTCAAGCCTACTTTCCAAAAAAAAAAAAACAACTTATTAAACAGCTCTACAGCCAACTCTTAGACTTCATTTGGGACGACTTTCTTACCGCTTCTTAAAAAAAAATTTAATAAAAAAAAATTAATTTATGTACTAAAAAGCTGCTTTAAGAAGCAGTAAGAAAGACATCCTAAACAAAGTCATAAGCTCTTACGAAACCCTGCAACCTTCTTTATCTTCCACAATTTCTTCGGGCAGCCAAGACATAAAAAGTAATCTGACTACACGTCCTACCTTAAGCCTGAGTTGCACAAAACCAGACTATATAATGGTTATAATCTTATTCATTATTGTTGAGTTGTAGAGACACATAAAGTTGGAGATAAAAACCAAAAAAAAAAATCAAATCAAGCTTGCCAAAGTCTATAATCTCATTTAAATCAAATTCTCTCTAAACTAATCCCCCTTCGGTGTTCTTATAATATTTATAAACTAATTTAGCCATATTGCATCAGATGTCGTAGGTTAATGCATCTAATGCTATCATTGCCATTGGTCTCATCTCTTGTTGTTGTTATTGCTGGCCACGTGTTGTCACTACTTTCATACCATTTGCTTATCAAAGCCAAAGTGGTCAACGACTGTCGTCACCATAAATAAGAACCATTGATCACAGCTATACCCCCATCTGTCCGACACGCCAAGAGCCAACGAGTCGATGCAGCCACATCATTTAGCTAAAAATTATTGTCATCATTAACGAAGGTTTTACTCGCTCTTATGGGTATGCTGAGTAAGACATATTTCTGTTGACATACTTTACAATGCAAGTTCTTTATCTCGGTCAAATCTGAATCCTATTTTGTTGTGTGTTGACTTAATTAAATTTAGAACGAGACATATTCTCCAAATTCTAGTTTATGTTCTTAAAATAGAATCCGTATTTTAAGTCAATGGGGAAATATTTTGCATCACGAACTAAGCTCAAAAGAAAATATTCTTAGCTGTTATTTGTACTATATTAAGTGTAAAGTTAAAAAAGGAAAGCAAAGATTTTCAATATTCATATATTTGATTTAAATAAAACAAAATACAGCATAAAATTTTGGCAAATTTGACTTATCAATGTTAAGCTATTTTATGTGCATTTCAAATTCATCCAAATAAAGTCAAAACTTGATCCTCACATTTGGTGATGCCAACGCACTGCATGGACATCGATGCAATCTCTATGGTCGCTATAATGACCTCAAAGTTCAACCCCTCTCCTGCACCACATTGTCCCCATGTTGAGCAACGCTTGACCTATCCCCCACATAGGAGAGATTATTTTTTGTAGAGACCAGATGCAAAACGTCATTCAGAGACCAACCAGAATGCGCCACATCAACAGTACCGAGTAAAGGGGCGATGTGGCGCATTCTGGTTGGTCTTCAGACGGCGTTCAACGCCCGCACAGAATAATTAATCCCCACATAGCATCGTCCCTGCCTTCAGCAATGCTTGACCCCACCAATGCACTTCGACATCCCTGCCTATGGTTATGCTCGACCACACTGTAGCAGATAGACCCCATTGATAATGTGATTTATGTGATCATATTGTGACCTCAACCCTCCACCCATTTTAGACCTCCCAACGCTCAACCCGCACCGCATTAACACTGTAACTCAGCCTCCTATGGCCAAGGAAAAGTTATTACGTCCGGACAAAAAATTGAAAATCCGGACAAATACCGAGCAATACCGAGTGCTCGGTACCGAGTACCCAAGTGACGTGGCGCTTTGTTATTGGTCTCTGAACCCGTTCGTTATCCGGACACAATAATTACTCATGGCCAAGACTCGCGCCGGGCAATAACAATCCATGTTGGCATTGCATGGGAGCATATTCATGCCATAAATTTGTTTATTTCTAAACCCTAAACAACAAATAAATTTCTTGGCTTTAATTCCATATCAACCTAACAACAAGAAAGATTTTAAAAGATAGTTGAATCCTATAAAGCTTCAACTAAACAAGCCTTTTTAGTCCCCTATATCTATACCGCATTAATAAGATGTTGTATTGAAAGAAATGTTGAACGGCTGATCTGGGAAGTTAGATGATCGTAAAACAAAAAAAAACTTGTACGAGCGGCCCCCATGCACTAATCATGTTAGAAAAACATGGCTTTGAAGGCCAAAGCTACAGTCATAAGTCGCCAGTGGCAGTAACAAGACAATAGAAAGCACATACGCATAAGATACCAATAAATCGAAGCTTTATGTTTTAACATTTTTACCTCGAGAGGCAAAATGAAAATTAAAAAAAATAATAAAACATAAAACAATAAGCAACTATAGCTTTTTTTTATTCAATAAGCAACTATAGCTTTTTTTTATTTGGGACCTTTGGGTTTCCCCGTGCAAGTTCAACTTTGCAAGCTGTACATTGTACTTATTCACTATTATCTATTTATATCTTCTCTATAAAAGCAGAAACTTCTACTTATCTATTTAATGTTGTGCTACACGAGGTTCGAAAAAAGGCCCTCCACCCAACCACCAGATCAAGCTGAGCTGCACACTTAGTTACAAATCCTACAATTTATTAGTGTATTACATAACTATTACATAACACAATACTTATGACAATAATATAATAATAATGATAAATTTTATGATTTATACTAAAATAACACACATTAAAAATGATAAATTATTATTTTTTTACAACATAATATGTATAATATTAAATAATTACATGCTAAAACACAAACAATGCCGGACCTCAAAGTCTACACAAGTTCTGTACAGCTGTTCGTGCCTAATAATTTCACCTTTTAGACTGGTTATTTGGCGGATGGAGAAGTTTAGTCAAATATGAATACTCAAATAAATCCATTAAAAAAACAAAGATTTGGCTCCATTTTGTTTGGACCTCAATTAAACACTGAGAGGACCAACTCAGGGAGAGAGAATGAGAATGAATCACCCAGAAAAAGAATGAATGAATGGAATGATCCGCAGTTTAATTAAGTGGACCAATCAATAGAAATTTCGCTCTGGAATAAAATTGAAGAAGACCAACTAGGGGAGCTATTGACCAGCTGCAAAGGAAGAAACCTCGAGAGTTCATTTGATTAAACTTTTTACCGCTTATTGTGGCAGATAAGAAAAATAATATATCCCACTTCATTCAGGCAAAATATTAGTAGTGAATTTCTGTAAGTTTGCTTCGAAACTGCTTTGAAATAAGTCTTCAATCGTAGCTTTCTAACCATGTTTATGAGAAAAGAAAACAAAAACTTGCCGACTCAGTTTTCAGCAAGTGCGCAGGACTATCCTATTAAAGACTTGGCTCCATTAAAATCGACTAAAATAACAGACCTCTATGCAAAACAGAAGTCCAATTAACAAAGTCCTAAAAGCATAGGCCAAAATATATCCCTAGCACCAGCTGTTGTCCTCATAAGAACTTTTATAAAAACTGCTTCAGATCCCTTAGACATGCTTTGAAATTGATCACTTCAGTATAATCAAGAGAATTCGTCGACAATCCAATAACTATTCCAAGGCATCGAGACACATTCAAATCCCACGTTATAACGTAGCAGAACATAAACTCTCTAAGAGGTTTCATATGGCAAAGCCGTAATGAACAGAGATCGAAATCAGCAACTAATAGCAGAGAGAAATAGTTAGAAAGACTGCTTACTCGACCCAAGTTCATCAAAATAAGAGCTAGTAAGCGTTAGATTTTATTAACCCCGATAGTTCAAGACGCGGTTTCCATTGAATTCATAAGAAGTTCGATTAAATCATTGAGAGAGCATCGGAAGCAATAGCTAACCTGACGAAAGCGGTTTTGTTTCTCCTCTATCCTTCTGACATATCCATCAAACTTCCTCCCTCGGTCGCCGCATTACTTGCCCTCTAGCAAACAACAAATTGATCAAGTCAGGAGCTCGATTCGACGGTCTTAAGCTGCTCACAGCCGGCGCAAAGATGCAAAGAATCCAGAAAGAAAATCTCACGGGGGGGCGAATGAAGCGTTTCAGCGGACAACACAGCGCGGGAAGGGAAGAAGGCAGAGTATTGCGGGGGTCGCCTGGAAACCCCTGGAAACGCGGCATCGGGAATTAAAAAGCCCTTTCCAGTTACTGTCCAATAATAGAGTACGAAATTCCTATAACACCCCTCAGCACAGGCAATATTAAAACAAATGCCCCGCTCCGCGAAGTCTCTAGAATTCTTGCTCCATTGGAGAAGTAAAAGAAGAAGGGTCATTTCGCCATTTGACCAGAGTTTTGTTCTTCCCAACACGATGATGTGGAGGCACGTTGAACTTAAACCCAAAAGTTCACCCACATGGAATCACATAAAAGAGGGACCGACAGCCTTTTACATTTGGGTGGCACCCACTACGATATGGAAATGTATTCCGCCGTTTCCGTTTAGTGAAACGGCTGGTTGGGTGCATGGAACCGTCAGAACTGTCCGAGCTACAAAGAATAAAGAGACAGCTGTGTACCAGCTAACACTTCAGTTTCCTCCATAATATTTTTGGATATTAAAAAAATACAATTTGAATTTAAAATTTTATTTTTTTTCCATAATTTAATTTTAAAAAACATTAATTTCACCTGCAGGATACCAGAAAATGATTTTTATAGAGAATAATCATATAAAGCATAAATCAATTAATAAAATAGAAGACTTTTTCATAGTAGATTTTTAGTATTACAATTTAACAAAAAAAAAAACCTAAATTATAACACCTTTTATGTGACTAATATTTCTCCTGCTCCGACAATATAAGGAGAAATTATTCTATACGGACTTCGACCGAACAGAGTTCACCATCCAGTTCACCATCCGGAGATCAATTAGAATGAGTCATATCAGCACTTCAGCAGTACCGAACCGCTGTACCAAAAGAGAGTGACATGACAAATTCTCGTTGATCTATAAACAACATTTGAGGTCTGCACAGAATAATTTGACCTGTTATGCCCTATATAACAGGTCATAATATTTCATTTATTTACACTTTAGCTTAATTTCAGGCTTCTTAAAACAAATGAGAACAAACTCATCATGGGCTCACACGAAAGGCTGACAGCACCATTTATTTAAAGTAATAAGACAAATGCTACCACCGAATGAACTTTAAAGCATTCCTATTGTAACATTTCAGGTCTGAAACTGAAATGAATAACACTCGGCATTATACAACAAAGCAGTGTAAAAGGAATCTGCTTTATAGCCTAATTTATTGACCCAAAAGAATAGAAGTTTTAAGCCTAGTGAAGACATCATGTGTATATGCAAGACTCAGGAGAGAAGAGAACCTTCAGATGTATGAAGTGGTCCATCATTTAAGGAGAAATTATTCTTTGCGGAGGCCAAACGCAGCTCAACTTCGGAGGCGAATCAGGTGCAGTCACGTCAACCGTACCGGGCCACGATAATGAGCGGTGACGAGCCACGGTATCAAGCGAAGGGATGATATGACGCATTCTAAGTGGACTCCGGAGGACGTTCGTTATGCGTTCGGTCTCCGCACAGAATAATTTTTCCCATTTAAGAGCTTAATGCTTTGCATATTTCCGGACACATTTTAGTTGATCTCCGGACGGCGTTCTACGTCCGCATGGAATAATTTTTCCCATTTAAGAGCTTAATGCTTAGCTTTTTTTTTTGGGACAATTTTCAGGTACTGTGTCGGTTTAAAGCATCAAAGCATTGGATATATAATTATCAAATGTTACTTCCCAAAGGACAAAAAATTGCTTGAAACCAGAAGAGTTAAATAAATACACTTTTGAATGATCAAACGGTCGGTAAAATTAGCTAATAAAAGATTAAGCACTTTATGAGATAATAACGACAATGAATACGAATCTAAACAGAAGATTACTGCTGCTATTCCGAAGTTTTATAAAGTAAACACTTTTAGTGAAGTGAGGATATCTAGCTAGAACACGATCAGGAAAGGACTGAAGTATTAAAAAAGCTATGTCTGGATACATTCACAATCGCAAATCAGCTGCAGGTATCAAAATTGTTCAGTAGAGTTAGCAGAATCAAATCTTCATCAAAATAGCTTATGAGAATAATGTTAGATGTAGAAACCAACAAACTGTTGAGTCCGCCAATGTATTGCCGCAAAGAACCATAAATCTCCGCCATTTAGATCATTCTGGAAGCTTAAGTTTTTCGTTGTTTTTCCAACTGCAGAGGAGAAAAATACAAATAAGTCATAAACTTCAATCGGCCAACTTACAGCCCATTCAATTGCTTGAAGAGAATTTGGGCTTTATAGACCAAGGCTTCGTTTGGGACCGCTTTTTTATTGCTTTCTAAAACGGAGTTTTAGTAAAAAATAAAAAAATTTGTACTAAAACCAATAAAATAGCCGTCCCAAACAAAGCCTTAGGGTTTAGGGTTTAGGGTTTAGGGTTTAGACCCTAAACCCTAAACCCTAAACCCTAAGGCTTTGTTTGGGACGGCTATTTTATTGCTTCTTAAAACAGCTTTCTAGTAGAAAAATTAAAAAATTTTGTACTAAAAAACTGCTGTAAGAAGCAGTAAGAAAATTGTCCCAAACAAAATCTAAGGCTTCGTTTGAGACGGCTTTTTTATTGCTTCTTAAAGCAGCTTTCTAGTAGGAAAAATTTTAATTTTTTAACTAAAAGACTGCTTTAAGAAGCAGTAAAAAAGCCGCCCCAAAGGAAGCCTAAAAGTATTAAATAGACTTGCATTATATGCCAACTGAATATCAGCTTTGAGAGGCCAGAAATTCCACCCAATTAAATCAATAATTTGATTTTTTTTAATGTAAGTATTTTTTTCGATAAAACAAAACAGGCCTTTAGATAAAACAATGGCATCTGTGCATAATGAGAAGCTGACCTTATAAAGTAGTAGTAGAAGAAGTCTATGTACAGTGCCGTCTGGACGATACCGGCAATCCAGGCTGCAAAACAGAGAATTAAGATACAAGGAGAAATAATATCTGCGTAGACTTGTAAATTGAAATAAAATGTGTTGTCCATTATTTATAACTTACATATCCATCTGCTGTAGTATTTCTCTGTAAAATACCGGTAGATCCAGTTGAGAATATATAAGGCTCGATATGCCCTAAACCAAGCATTTCCGTGAATTAGAAAACTATATAGTTATTTACCAGTAAACGATTGTAAATATGAAGGCTTATGTTTATTTGGAAGTTGTAGGAAGTAAATGTAATTTCATCCAGAATCAGCTAACAGCAATAAAAAATTGGGAAGAAGAATACACCAACACTATTTTTGTTGCAAGATATATGAAAGAAAATAACAAATGCAGTTGGATCTTCAATTGGAGAGGAAGATCCGGCTCTCCTAAATTTCTAGCTGTCGGCTAGAGCCCTCACAACCTAAGGAATTCTAATTTCAGCAAAAACAAGCATGAAAGAAAAAAATGAACCCTAGGGAAAAATATATTTAAAGCATACAATTTCATAACAAAATCTCAAAATAGCTCCTTGCTTTTCCCTCCTAGCCGTCCCCTCCGCCTCATTCAAAATCTGCCTTGTCCCACCCCAAAAGGAGGGCAGAATCAATGTAGGCGAGGTTTTCGCCTACTGTAGACCACAGCCGATCCAAGGACCAGCTTGACCGATCCAAGAGGAACTGGTCTATGATACCCCTCTCCCAAAGACCCATCTTATGCTCAAGCCCAAAAGATAGAAAATGCAGGTTCACCCTCCAGTACAGCTCCCATGTGGCTTCATAGTCGAATAGGTTCTCCCATTTTATCAAAACTTCCTTGCTCCCCCTCCCTATCGTATCCCTTTCAACTCCAATGGTTCCAACACCACTTCCAATCAATATCACAGGTAACTCGAAACTGGATGCATGATCCCCGATAGCTCTCTTCTCAATTGTGACATGTGGAACATCGAATATATAATCGCGGTATAATAAGCCACTACTCTAATCATCTCTAATATCTCATAAGGACCAAAATATCTCAGGGTCAGCTTCTCAATCGATAATCCACTAACTTCAATGGAAGGAAGTCCTCCCTCACCTGGACCCCCTGTATAGTCAAAACCGCCCCCCTACACACTCTGTCTGTCTCCACTTTCCCTATGCCTGATGTTTTATGTTTTAATGTTATTGAAGATATATGTTTTAACATTTAAGTTCGACATCCGTTCCCGCTTCGTCTACGAGAGCTCACAGGGCCGGATTGTGACTTCCTATAGAACTGAACCGGCCCCACCTGGGCCGGTTTGGTCGGTTCAGGGGGGGGAGAACCATAACAAAGTTTCTATGCTAAAATCAATCTAGACATCACCAAGCAAATGCTAAATCCTAACTGCCACAGATGTAGAAGTTAAAGTAAGAAGAATAGAGAAACTCTGCACCTTCTTGATAGCACTTAACAACCCAATGGAAAGGATCGCTATGGCTCAATCAGGAGAATATTCCACTTCATACCTCTATGGTGCATTTGAAACATTCAAACAAAATCTAGGGAATAAACTCAAGAGCAACCAATCATATGCTCAACTCTTCCAACAAATTTTTCTTCTAATATATCCTGCCTGCCCAGAAACCATAAAATAAAATTATTTGATGAAACCCTTGTTGCTAATGCAGGAAATAAATCTATAAAACTAACGCATTCCCTTCCATTGTTATATGTTCTCCATGTATCAAAATTATCCATGAACCTACCATCTATTCAGAAACTAACATTTAACCTAATTCTTATTGCAGCTTTTATCATACTCGTTGCTTATTTCAGCGTCAAACAAGAAGAGATGATTAGGCTATGCAAAGGAATGAGAAGAACTCAACAATCTTAAAATAAGTAGTGATAATCACATACCCTGATCACATTTATCTGATATTTATGAACGTTGTAAGTGCACAATTTTAGCTCAATCAAATTATGAAAGTCTTCCAACTTTTAGTGCACTATATTTCATATTTCATATATTATTTAGTAAAATAAAAGTTGAATAATTTCAATGTGAGGTGTGTGAAATGGCCAAACACTATAGGACCCTACCCCTAAGCTATTAAAAAATCTCAATATATTTTTTTCTTAATTCGCATAAATATTTATAGCCATCTAATATCACTAATATCAGTACGGTATATTACTTTCATAGGCAATTGCTCATCATGAAACATAAAACTGTTGCAAGTACAATCCTTCCCATGTTCCATAAAATAATCATTACCCAATTTGACACTACTATAAAATATATTAGATATGATAATAAAAATGTACTGTAATCAAATATCATCTTCCTTTCTAGACAAAAACATCATCCATGAATTTTTTATACTGAGACCCCACAACAAAATGGGGTTATATAATTATCATTTTCTTGAAACCACTAGGGCCCTACTATTTGAAAAGAACGTTATAAAACTTTATGAAGGAAAAGTTAACCTTAAATGTCACATTCCTAACAAATTATTTTGCCAAAAAAAATTACAAAATAACAAACCTATTAAAACCTTCATCAAACTTTTTCCAAACATATAACACTCATTGCTTCCATTAAAATCCTTTGGGAGTATTGCCTATTATGTCCATCGACATCATCAAAACACTAAACTTAAACCAAGAGCCATAAAATGCATCTTCCTAGAATACTCCTTGACTAAAAAAAGGGTAAGTATTACAATGATAATTCTAAAATATTCATCTCCGAAGGTATTAACTTCCATGAAAATCAAAGATTTTGTGAAAAAAATTATTTTCAAGGAAGGACTAAGAATGAAAACAACTTTGGCTTCCTCAAACTTGATCTCTCGACTAGACAACAACCCCACAGAGTCTCAAGCAATCCCAAGATTTCACAACAGATAATAATATCCTCCACATACATCAATTCTAAATAACTCTATCTAATGAACCTAAATCATTACGAAATGTATACTTAAGAAGAAAGAGAAAAGCTCACTGAACCAAAGCATGTCATGCCCAGACATCCAAATCCATGCAAGATCAATCACCATTTAATGAAGGTAATATCTGAGCTTGAAATTCAAATCCATATGGTTCCCAGCTTCCCACCCTCTAAAATTCAAACCCATTATGATATCAGCCTCCTTACTACACCAGAAAAAATATTCTAAGCATGCACCCAATATCTAATAACCAACTTTATTTCACTTCTTAATATATCCTCCTCACACAAAATATTTCTGACCGACATAACTAATATCAAGATTCCAAGAACAATCCAAGAAGCATTGAAAGTCATGATTGAAGTAATGAGAACCCCAAAAGAAAATCAAAACTTGAGAGATGGTAAAATTTTCAAAAAGGAAAAAAATAATTGAAAATAAGTTAGTATGCACAATCAAATACAATGCAAATGAAATACTTGAGAGCTATAATCTGAACTCGTAGAAAATGGTTCCACTCAAACCTATAAAGTTGATTATGGAGAAACCTTTGCCCCAGTCAGAGAGATAAACGCCATTTGGATACTTCAATGGCAACTAATCTCAAATGGTCCATACATCAGTTGAATGTAAAAGATACCTATGGCGAACACAAAGAATATGCCTATATAGAACCTTGGTCATATTTTAACCAAGATTTCAGTACTGACCATGTAAGCAAAAAATGCTTTCATCCATTGAAAAATCAAAGAAGCCTATCTAGAACCTCCAATAAGTTTTAATAAAGATTTTTTACTATGTCTGTAAGTTGTAGAAATCACAACACGGCCTTAAACAATCCCCAAGAGCATTGTTTAGAAAGTTCACTAAAGCCATGGAAAAACTAAACTTCAAACAAAGTCCAAAAGATCACACTCTTTATAAAGAAAGTCAATGAAGACATGATTGTAATAGAAGATGAACTCTAAGAAATTTAAAAAGTGAAATATCAAATATCCAAAAATTTTGAGGAAAAAAATTTGGAAAGACTAAAATAATTTTTTGGAATCAAAGTGGCCAAAAAGCTAAAATATTCATCTCTCAATAATAACACGCCTTAGCCTCAAAAGTTCTAATTGACTACTTCAACAAATTAAGAGAGGCAGGCGACAACTCAAATTTTGACAAAGGAAATATCAAAAGATTGATCGAGAAGCTTACATATCTTGCCCACACAAGTGCACATAGCCAATGATGAAAGTGTTTTAAATTAATTTATGCATAATCTTAAAAACTTGCATCTATGGACAACATAAAAAACTCATCAATACCTCAAAGCAACACCGGGAAAAAAAATCTTATTCAAAAGAATTAGAAAACCCAGCTTAGAAGCACATACAAATGTTGATTGGGCAGAATCACTCATAGATAGAAAGTCTGTGATTGGTTTTGATTGTTTAGCTTTCCTATGTGAGAATCGAATAACTTGAAGTAACAAGAAGCAATCAGCAGTCATCAAATCTAGTGCTGAAACTAAATTTCGAGCAATGACGTACGAAATATGTGAATAGTTGTGAATCAAAATTATCCTTGATGTCATAGGAATAAAATGGGAAGATATCAAGATAATATGAAGTTATACAAACAACAACAATCATGACATCAAAATCTTTATCCCACTACATGGGGTCAGCTATATGAAACATTTTTCTCCATTACGTCATATTAAGAGTCAAATTCTCATTTAAATCTAATAAATGAAAATGTCATTTCTAATACTTTCTACAAGTCTTTTTAGGTATATTTCTACTTTTTTAACATAGGCCAGATCTAATGCATCTAATCTCCTAACAAGTTCATTGGAAAGCCGCATTTTGATGTGAGAAAATCATTTAAAACGACTCTCTCTAATATTATCTGCCACTAGATCTACTCCAACATTTTCACATTTTCACGTACATACTTGTTTCGTATTCTATCTCTAAGTGTAAAGCCACTCATCCACCTAAGCATCCTCATCTCTGTAACACTTATCGTTAGTTTATGCTTCTCTTTTAGTGGCCAACATTCTGTGTCATAAAGCATTACAGGTCTCACCACTATCTTATAGAATTTTTCCTTAAGTTTGATACTATGAAGTTATAATAAGATAATAAATAAATCATCAACATTGCCAACAATGTAGTCCAACATGACCAAACAAAAATCAATCAATACTTCATCAAAGAATAATTAATAAGTAGA